TTATGTTAGTTTCTATATGCAGCAAAGTATATCAATTAGATATATATCCACTATTTTTTACATTCTTTCCCCATATAGGTTGTTGCAGAATATTAAGAAGAGTTCCCTCTGCTATTTGGTAGGTCCTTATTTATCTACTTTATATACAGTATTACGTGTTTGTCAATCCCAGTCTCCCAATTTATTCCTCCTCACCTCCTGCTTTATCCCCTGGTAACTACAAGGTTTTTTCCCTACGTCTGTGACTCTATCTTAAAGGATTTTTTAAAAGAAACATAACTTCAGCTCTATCAAACTCTCCTTTTTTGATCAATCAAGATAATATTATTTTTCTCCTTTAGGCTAATAATGTGATGAATTACATTAATTTTAGTCATAATGTTGACCAATTCTTGCATTCTAAGAGGAAACCTCACTCAGTTATGAGGAATTTTTAATGCTCATATTTGGTTTGGTAACACTATGCTCTGTTTGAATTGTTTGCACCTTTAGAGGTGAAATGGGGCTATTGTTTTCTTGTATTGCCCATCTCTTGCTTTAGAATCAAGTTACTCTACTTCTTTCAAATTAGCTGAGCATCTCTACTCTTGATTAGTTTTCTACACCAACCTGTGTAACATACTGTTAACTGTCCCCTGAGATTTTAGCAGACCCTCCTGGAAAACATCTGGCCTTAGTAGGGTATACTGGGGAAAAGAGATCTGTGACAGCTACTTTTGCTTATTTAATACTTAACTAACTTCCTAAAGACATATATGTCTTTTGCACCAAAAAAAAAAAAAAAATGGCTGTACCTTCATCTAAATTAGCAAATGGTGTGCCACTGTGAGTTGATTAAATGGAGATCTGAGGTTCCATATTAAGTTTAACTTTGAACTGGAAAAGAGGAATTCAGATTAATCTCACTCACTTGGGTCTATGTGGACAGTCTACCTCTGCGAACTGGTTTTAACCAGCTCAGAATAATGCTGCTGAAGAGCTTTTATGCTGAGAGATACTAGAGTCACTGCAAAGGTTTTCATGTCGTGTTGTGTTGTAGCTATTGTTGGTGTTGACTGTTGCGGCTTCTGCCAGAAGTCACTGGGTGTACACGCATGAACTGTGGGTGTTGTCTTACCTGTGAGTTGCCAGCAGTTTGCTGAGAGGAGAAACGTGGTGGATCTGGTCTCTTAGATGGTTGTTTCCAGGTTTGGAGTGACTGGCGTCAGATTTGTGTGTGATTCTAGGAAGTCGGTCTTTCCTTATGACAACAGCCAGCAGTCAGCGGAGGCTGTTTTCCTACACTCCAGGGCAGAGTGAGGAGCCCCCCCTAGAGCAGAGATGACCCCCTCCTAGCAGGTCACCTCAGAATCAGGGTCTGCTGCCTTCTACCAGATAAACAGAGATCCTCAGGAAGCTCAGAGCAGCTGTGCAGTGTTTCCTTCTTCTGATGTGTCGATTCCACGCTCATGTGTCTTTTCTTTTTTTGAGAAAAAAATAAAAACATGCAGCCACATAATCAACAATGTACACGGCATTAATAATTTCTTCAGTGCTCTTTTCTTTTCATCTCTCTGGTGAATTGAAGGATGAAGAGGAGGGAAGCCAGTGTTTCTGGTCCTAAAGCTGTGCTGCTTTTCCTTTTGGTAAACTGGGAACTTCACAGGCCTCTCTCTCTCTCTGGGTGCTATCTAGTAGAATTCCAGGGTTTGGCTTTAGAGAAACTACATGTCTTCCCAACTGCTGGTGAAAGAAGCGCTGCCAGTGTGAGGAGAGACTATCCTCTCTTCTCCTGCAGCCACAACAAATACAGGAGGGTTCTCTGTCTCAAAAACTTTGGGACTGGCCCCAAGTGTCAGGGTATCCTGTGGGGTTTTGTTTTTTGGTTGCAAAGCTTTGGTGTTCTTCTCTTCCACTTAATTATGACAGTAAATGAAGGTCTCTTAAGCCTCTCAGTAGTCTTATCACACATGGCTATTAGGGGAGGGGTACCTTCTAATTTATTATATAAACCAGGTCTTTTCCAAAAATAAAACAATTTGCTAATTGTCACTCACTGTTAACTATTAATTGGAGACAACAGACACTCACAGAGACCATCTCTGCAAACCAGGACACAACTTCACATGCAGACTCCTGGGAAATCCCTTTAAGGCCTGAAGATTCTGAAATCGCCATGACAGGATGGTTTTCTTTTGTGAGACAAACAAGTGAAAAGAGCTGACTGCCCCTGTTGTCTATTGTTCTAAGCATGGCCCTGCAAGGAACTGGGTGCTCCTTCCAGGAAGACTGAGTGCCTTAAGTAACAAGGAAGAGATCTTGCAATGCCTGACTTGGTGTCTAGAAATTGTTTGCTTTGTCTCTAATGATTTTATCAAACAAGAAATGACTGGAATGATGCAAGAGAGTGGGAAGTGGAATTCCAGTATCAAATGGCCCCAAACAGAGGCAAAGAGTTGCAAAAGAATGTGATCACTGGCCCATGATTTCTGCCCCGAGGAAGGTAGAAGGAGGGATGTGGACATCACAACCCCCCTCTTTGGAGCAGCTCCAGGGCACATCTAGGGCCAATGACTATAGACGGTTGACAACATCCCCTCTCCCCACCATGTCTACTCCTGGGACCAAGTCAGCTAAGCCAGCTCAGGGACCTAGACTACCCGAACCACAGTGAACCCCAACTTTCCCAAGGAGTGTAAGTTCTGTTGAGAATATTTAAGTATTGCTTAGCTTTGCCTTGGATAAAAACCAGACAGACAGAGAAATCCTTCAGACAGTTATCTGCCCTACATGTTCACCTCATTACACCTACAGGAAATAAAACATGTCCCAGACCCAGAAAGAGGCATCATCCTGGCTTAGAGGTTAAAGCATCTGCCTGCAATGCAGAAACCTGGGTTCGATCCCTGGGTCGGGAAGATCCCCTGGAGAAGGAAATGGCAACCCACTCCGGTATTCTTGCCTGGAGAATCCCATGGACGGGGGAGCCTGGTGGGCTATAGTCCATGGGGTTGCAAAGAGTCAGACAGACTGAGCGACTTCACTTTCACTTTCACTTTCATCTAAGACAGGGCTTCCCAGGTGGCTCAGCGGTAGAGAATCCGCCTGCAATGCAGGAGATGTGGGTTCGATCCTGGGTCGGGAAGATCCGCTGGAGAAGGGAATGTCCACCCTCTCCTGTACTCTTCCTTGGAAAACCCCAGACAGAGGAGCCTGAGGGCTGCAGCCCGTGGAGTCACTGAAGAGTCCCACACGGACTCGGTTACTAAGCAACAACCACAAATCTAAGACCGTGGTTCCCAGACCACAGGGTCACCCTCGCCTGCTGTGCTTCCTCCCGGGCCAGTGCTCCTCCTTCTCATGTCCTGCTCATGATTCCCTGAGTCTAACTAAGCAACAACCACAAATCTAAGACCGTGGTTCCCAGACCACAGGGTCACCCTCGCCTGCTGTGCTTCCTCCCGGGCCAGTGCTCCTCCTTCTAATGTCCTGCTCATGATTCCCTGAGTCTTGTAACAGATTGGCGATTCTTCACCCTCCTTCTCCTTCTCGGGATTACTACCTGAGCACAGGCCCCAAGTGCTCTAGACTCTAATTTACCATCTCCCCTCGTCTCAGTTCGCAAGTCTCCGTGATTTGCTTGCATCTGTCTTGGAGATCGCTTCCCTGTGTCCCAACACACAGCTCACGTTCCTTCTCTCCAGTGAACACTCCAGGGAAAAATCCTGAGGTGGGGCTCCTGGGCTGGGCCTCAGTTGCCCTCCTGCCATCCTCGGGCTTCCAACCCAGGGTGCCACCGTCAGGAAGAGCAGTTCCATGTCCTCTGGGTCCCCACCGTCTCTGAATTATCACACATGTATCATCCCTTCTCCTCTGGGAAATCCAGTGACCTTTGAAATTTCCCTTTGGGATAAAGAGGCAGAGATGGGGCAAGGAGTTCATCAGAGACGCCATCCCTGTGAGAGCACCTGCATGAAATTTCCTCCCAAGGTTATCTTCCTGAACTCACAGAATAAAGCCCACTCCTGCTTTTCTGATTGAAACAGCTATTCTCTGACATCATATCCTCCAGCATTCTTGTGATAAATCAGCTTTCTCTGTATCCATCCTGAACCATCTATGCTGATAATTTAACAGACATCTGGACTTTTCCTGTTCGTTTTTATGGTGTCATTTCTACACAATATCATAGCAAATTTCCTCACTGTAGTTCAACCTTCCTGGGGTTGCAATGACCTCTCAATATGACCTACTGTTATGACCATCAACAGCATCTGATCATGAATACACTTGAAGCTGGAAGACTCCCTTTTCCAGTGCTGAATCCACCCCATGTGGGTGCTGGAAGTTTGATTTTCCTGAGTTTTATCTCCTTCCTTTCCTTCTGCTGTACCCTGAGGTCCCAGCTTCATCCTGAGCTGTTTCTTGTAATGGACCCTTCTGCTGTTCCATTTGCACTGTATGCTCACATTCTTTACTCAACTCTCTTTTTCTAATGTTACTCTTTGGAATTCCCAAGTGGCTCAGTTGGTAAAGAATCCACTTGCCGTGCAAGAGACCCAGATTCAGTCCCTGGGTCAGGAAGCTCCACTGGAGGAGGCAATGGAGTGTTCTTGCCTGGTATTCTTGCCTGCCACTCCAGTATTTTTGCCTGGGGAATTCCATGGAGAGAGGAACCTGGTGGGTTACAGTCCACGGGGACCCAGAGAGTTGGACAAAACGAAGCGACTAACCACACACACCCTTCACAGCAAAAGTCAGTACATTACGGTGCAGGATGAAAAACACATTTGTCTCCTGGAGTGAGACTAGAAATGGGCAGGGAAAAGCCCAATATGCCACATTCTGAAAGTTGCCAGATTGCAAAATCTAGGAAAATTAGATGTGAGTGAGGAATAACACTGCTGTTTTCAATGCTGTGTTCTGGTCAGGAGGGATTTCCCAAACTTTCTTCCCTTCTTTCTTTTTTTTGCTTCCACCCCGTTTCTCATTTGCTCCACTGGCCAAGTGTCAGTATATAAAGCACCGGCCCGGTCTCCCAGGCAGGCAGCACTGGTGGCGCAGCTTCACCAGGAGCCTCAGCAGGAGGGCACGGCCAAGGGTGAGGAGGTAGAACTCTCCAACACTTTTCCTCTGCGGAGACTTTCTCTTCACCAGCATTCTTGTGCTGCAGCCCAGCTCTCTGCTTCCTTCCTGAATCTACTATTCATTCTGACCATTAGAATCCTCCAGGCATGACCACTTCAGGGGGTAGGGCTCTCCTTGTCTGCTTCTTCTATGAAGGCAGTGATGGGGTGAGCGCGCAGGCCACAGACACCTGTGCCTCATTCACCTCGTCTCACATCACAGACAGGCAGCAGGAACTCACTCCTCGTGCCTCTGGGGAACTTGCGGTGCAGCTGGGTTTCTGGCTGATAGAGGATGAGGGGACTGGAAAGTGGTTTATGCTAAAAGCCCGTTGCAATCCTTCATGCAGGAAATCACTGGGATTCCAAGATTTCACATGGAAATGAGAGCTGGATCCTCTGTGTTACAACCTATCGTCTATCTATCTATCGAGATAAAATTCAGAGAGATTTACATTTGGAATGTAAGAGTGTGTCCACATTACAACTCAGCCTCAAGACCTGTCATTCTTGGCTGAGTCCACTCATCTCTCTGTTGCAGGATGAACCTTTCCACCAGCATCATTTTCTGCTTCCTGATCCTGGGCGTCAGCAGCCAGGGATGGGGGACGTTCCTCAAGGAAGCTGGTCAAGGTAAGGACCAAAGGATGGGCCGGGGAGGCTGTGTCTGCTTCCCCAGGATTCACCTGAGCAGGGGCCACATCCCCACAGGGCAAAGGCCATCAGTGGGCAGAAATAGAGTTTGGTTTGCATGGTATCACTTCCCAAGGCTGTTCTGGCAGCTTTGCACTCTTTTCGGAGATCCCCAAGCCTGAGGTCCCATAAAGTTTGGGCCCCAACTTTCAGCAGGAGTGAGGAAGACATCTGGGGGGCGGGGTGCGTGTTCAAAAATACCAGCAAGTCTCTGCTGCCCTCTCGTGGGCAACTAGAGAAGGCCCATTTCCAAGTCTCCTGTAGCCAAGAAGTGGGTGCAATCGCTGAATACTTTTAACTAAAATACCTGAATTTTAGTAGCTGGTCAGGACTGTCTGAGAACTTTATGTGCAGGAATCGACTCGTTTTCCTCCTCAAGGTTTAATCCTGGAGTCCTGCAATGTAGGGACCATTACCCTTTATCAGAGAACCTGCTGCCACAAGAGATTAAAATAGGTTCCAACGTCCTCCAGCAGAGCAGGATTGAACCCAGCATCCTGAGACCCTGCTGTTAACCTCGGCCCTTCTACAGGGGGGCGTGTTCCCAAAATACCAGCAAGTCTCTGCTGCCCTCTCGTGGGCAACTAGAGAAGGCTCATTTCCAAGTCTCCTGTAGCCAAGAAGTGGGTGCAACCGCTGAATACTTTTAACTAAAATACCTGAATTTTAGTAGCTGGTCGGGACTGTCTGAGAACTTTATGTGCAGGAATCGACTCGTTTTCCTCCTCAAGGTTTAACCCTGGAGTCCTGCAATGTAGGGACCATTACCCTTTATCAGAGAACCTGCTGCCCCAAGAGATTAAGATAGGTTCCAACGTCCTCCCGCAGAGCAGGATTGAACCCAGCATCCTGAGACCCTGCTGTTAACCTCGGCCCTTCTACCGCCTCCCAGACAAGAGTACACGTGGAGAGTGAGGAGTCTGTGAACACGCGTCCTGCTCTTTATCTGAGTAGATGGCAGAGAGTGGGGGTTGTGCTTTTAGAGGAAACCCGATAGAGTTCTTCTCCCCATAGTAAATGGGAGCATGAGTTTCTACTGAGGCTGAGACCTGGAGAGAATCCTATAGCAAGACCACATAGACCTCACATAGCCAGAGCAAACTGGCCATAATTTATCTCCCAAAACTATTTGGTGTTCTTATTTTTCTGTGATAATTGCTGAATAATTGTTTTAAGAGTTTGTTCTTAATTCTATCTAAATTCACACAGGCCCAGATAAAAATATCTTTTCATCTCCTAGGTCAGTGTTGTTCAAGGGGCACTCTAGGATGACTTGCATGAGAATCACCCGTGGTCTGGGTGCTTTGTGGAATGCAGGTGTCTGGATCCACACACAGTCCCTTCCCTGAACCACAATCCCTGGGGCTCTCTGCAAATCTGTCCATTATTAAGCAGCCCACTTGATTTTGCACAGAATATATATTGAGAACCACTACCTGGTTTTGCACCCAAGGGACAAATATGTCGTGCATTTGGAAGCACTTATTAAGCAACTCTAGACTCCAGGTAACTATTTAAATCTGTAACTCAGGGTGAATAGCTATACTAAGAATATCATAGCCCTCAACAAAACTATTTTTCTGAACAGTGGAAATAGCTAATACCTAAAATAAAGATAAGTTATCTCACAGAGCTATTACATAAACTATGATTATAATCCATGTTATATTTTCCTCTTTTCCCTATGAGCTAATCTTTGAAACCTTTGCCATTTCATTCTACCTAGGTTGGGTTCTCTGCCCATGCCTCCCTGATCTTCATTCTACTTTATTTTTTTTTTTGCCCTACTCTTCGAAGGACCAGCGAGGTGATGGTATAGTGAGCACCTACAATGTTCTCTAAACTCAACCTGTATTTCCTCAGTTCTCCTGCTTAACCACCCTGAGGGAGGCATTACTCCTCCATTTTACTGGAGAGGACACTGAACTTTAGAGCTGGTGGTTCAGTTGCCCCTTTTTCTGATTCTGATTACCCTGTTTCATCAAAGCCCTCTTAGGGAGCTCACCTTTATCATCTGCTGATTTAATTCTGATGGTTGCCCATGAGCAAACATGTCCTCAGTATTCAGATGTACTCAGGTCCGAGTTAGTCACCAGGGCTGGATTTCTCCCCTTGACCAGGCTGGGAGTATCCCCTATCCACAGCCTTTCTCAGTATCGTCCTTCTTCTCAAGCTCTGGTCAGAGCCTTTCCTGCATCTTTCCAGGTGGAGGTTTATTGTGTAAGCAAACATCCCTTAAAGAAAGAGCATCGACCTCTTCTTCACACACATCACACACCTCCAGAAACAGAGTACCAACAGACTTAGAATGAAATCGCACAGAATAAAATTTGCACCAAGTGTGATACTCACAACTTCAGATCAGGGAAGTAAGTGAGAAGTAAAGAAGTATTTATTTCAAGCCAAAATAATAATCTCCAAAGGCTTAGTCGAAGGCTGAAACCTAGAATCAGTGGGAGGAAATTATTTATTTCTGTCTTTCACCAAAACACAGTCACATTCATCTCATCATTTTCTTTTCCTCCCAGGGGCTAAAGACATGTGGAGAGCCTACAGAGACATGAAGGAAGCCAACTACATAGGTGCAGACAAATACTTCCATGCCCGCGGAAACTATGATGCTGCCCAAAGGGGACCAGGGGGTGCCTGGGCTGCTAAAGTGATCAGGTACCAGGGTCCCTGGGGATGCAGGGATGGGTGTGCAGAGCTTGGCTGCCTTGGACAACCTGGGGGGGGCCAAGCCCTGGAGAACTTTCCTGTAGGGCTGTGGGCCCTCTTACACACCCTCCTGCTCTGCGCCCAGTGTGAGGTCTGGGTGGCTGAGGAGCAGAGCAAGCTTGGTGGGCCAGGTGACTCTCCACCCTCTCGCTATGGGTGTGTTCACCCAGCACAGGGCTGAGGTGGGCTGAGCCCAGGGAGCCTCAGGGCTGTAGCCCCTCTTTCCTGGGCTCCTCTCAGAGTCACTGATCCCTTGGAAAGAGGAGAGAGGGGGAGGGTGAAGCTGGGGCTCATAGTCCTGGATTAATCCCCTCCCTGCCCTCCTCCTTTCTAGTGATGCCAGAGAGACTATTCAGGGGATCACAGACCCTCTGCTTAAGGGCATGACCAGGGAGGAGCTACGGGAGGACACGAAGGCCGACCAGTTTGCCAACGAGTGGGGCCGGAGCGGCAAAGACCCCAACCACTTCAGACCTCCTGGCCTGCCTGACAAGTACTGAGCTGCCTCTCTCTCTGCTCAGGAGACAGGGCTGTGAGTCCCCAAGGGCGGGGACCCTGAGCTGGAGCGTTCTCTGTCCACAGAAGGCAGCGGATCTAATAAATGCTTGAGATGGAATACTGAGACTGTGTGTCATTCTTGGTATGAGGACAGCCTGTTGGTTCCAGGACTGATGGCAGGACAGCCACGTGAAGCTGAGCCTGTGCCTGTGTGTTTGGCTCCAGGACACACCCTCAGCATCATTCAGGACAGACCCCCTGTCCAGCCTTCCCTTAATCAGACCCGCTCCCTCTCCAGGCCCCTCTGGTTCCCCCGGGGCCGTTTCCAGGCCCTTCTCAGTCCAGGCCTTCTCCCTCCCTGCAGATTTGTCCTGCCACCTCCTCTGTCCCCGGTCTAGTCGCCCAGCTTGTCCTGGGTGATCTCTGCGTGGGGTCAGGGACACAGTCACGGGAGGACTGGATGCTGGAATCGTGCTTCAGAAACTGCCACCGTGACCTTCTAGTAGCAGCATCGGCAAGTCCAACTATGAACCAGTTTCTGTCTGTGCATCCAGAACCGCCTCCAGTGCTCCTTCCCCTCACTCTAGTTTCCTTGCATTATACAAGTTCCCAGGAACGAACATGTCAAGAAGTGGAGGAATAGTGACAACACCAAAATTCAGAGCCAGGCGGCTTTGTTTGCGTTGGATATGATTCGTGTCCTTGAGAGGAAGTCATTTTCCCTTCCTGGTCCTTTCTCAACCCAGGGAAGCCAGCAGCAGTTACTTCCCGTTGAGGAAAACTGTCTCTTACGGCAGGGGTTTGGGTCTGTTGTGGTTGTTGTTAGTCGCTAAGTCATGTCTGACTGATCGTGAGCCCGTGGACTATAGCCCATCAGGCTCCTCTATCCATGGGAGTCTCTAGGCGAGAATACTGGAGTGGGCTGCCATGGGTCTGTTAGAGTGAAGGAATTATGAGTGATTCTGGAAATCATAAATTCCTAGAAAACCAAGACACTTCTTCCTCAGAGAAAAACTTTGGTTTTGGTGTTCAGTTTGCTTTGTTTTGTTTTCAGATTTGATGTTTATGAATTTTTCAGATTCCAATAAGTAAAATGATCTAAAATCTTAAAAAATGGTGAATACATTTCTGTATCCAACTTTCATATCAAGTAATAATACACTTATTTTTCCCTTTTACAAAAATTTGGAAAGCTTCTGTATCCAGCCTTGCCAATCACCCTCTCTCTAATGTTTCCTTTCTTTCCCCTCATTTTGCAAAAACTTTAGACCTTCAGCACCTGGGATAGAAATCTAACAGTGAACCATCTCATAACAAAAGGCTTCTTACAACCTGGGGTCCATTCAGACTCTACCATAAAAACCCCTAAACTCAGCAGAGCTTTGAGCCTATTCCCAGCAGCTGATGGGCAGCCACATTCTCCTTAATCCCAGCTAACTTTCCCCTGCTTTATTTTGTCAAAGACTCACTTTTCTGAGATACAGCCATAATCCTCCTTAAACTTCTCCTACCTACATCTCTGACAAGGCCGTCTTTTTTTTTTTTTTCATTTATTTTTATTAGTTGGAGGCTAATTACTTTACATCATTGCAGTGGGTTTTGTCATACATTGAAATGAATTAGCCATGGATTTACATGTATTCCCCATCCCGGTCCCCCTTCCCACCTCCCTCTCCACCCGATCCCTCTGGGTCTTCCCAGTGTACCAGGCCCGAGCACTTGTCTCATGCACCCAACCTGGGCTGGTGATCTGTTTCACCCTAGATAATATACATGTTTCGATGCTGTTCTCTTGAAACATCCCACCCTCGCCTTCTCCCAGAGTCCACAAGTCTGTTCTATACATCTGAGTCTCTTTTTCTGTTTTGCATATAGGGTTCTAGTTACCATCATTCTAAATTCCATATATATGTGTTAGTATACTGTAATGGTCTTTATCTTTCTGGCTTACTTCGCTCTGTATAATGGGCTCCAGTTTCATCCATCTCATTAGAACTGATTCAAATGAATTCTTTTTAATGGCTGAGTAATATTCCATGGTGTATATGTGCCACAGCTTCCTCATCCATTCGTCTGCTGATGGGCATCTAGGTTGCTTCCATGTCCTGGCTATTATAAACAGTGCTGCGATGAACATTGGGGTGCACATGTCTCTTTCAGATCTGGTTTCCTCGGTGTGTATGCCCAGAAGTGGGATTGCTGGGTCATATGGCAGTTCTGTTTCCAGCTTTTTAAGAAATCTCCACACTGTTTACCATAGTGGCTGTACTAATTTGCATTCCCACCAACAGTGTAAGAGGGTTCCCTTTTCTCCACACCCTCTCCAGCATTTATTGCTTGTAGACTTTTGGATAGCAGCCACCCTGACTGGCATGTAATGGTACCTCATTGTGGTTTTGATTTGCATTTCTCTGATAATGAGTGATGTTGAGCATCTTTTCATGTGTTTTTGTGCCATCTGTATGTCTTCCTTGGAGAAATGGCTGACAAGGCCTTCTGATGGGACTTGTATGAGAAAGCTCTCTTGTGACTACCTTATATCCACACTTCTTCTTCCTCCTTGACAAGGAAATTCAACATGTCTTTCCTCTCTAGAGATCATTTTCTCATTAATCTTCTCCCCTCGCGAGTGCTCCTCAATCCCATGTTCAGAGTAGAAGTGTGTGTTTATTTACTCTGAGCTCCACACCTACCCTTCTTTGCCTGGCTTGTGATTCTGGAGCTGGACCCTACGAACACAAGCCCGCTGCCGGCTGGCCACGGTGCTCACCTCTGCAGTTTGGGGTGCTGGAGGGACGTTGCAGGAGAAGACACTTTCTAGTTAGTGGTTCCCTTCCATCCAGCTCCTGAGGCGCACTTGTCTTGCACAGGACACCTGGGGACATTCACCTCAGTGAGGAAAGTGTGCTTGTTCCTCATGATACACGCCACACCTCAGAGTCCAGACCCTCTGTGCCTGCTTCCTTAATAAATTCCCACACTGAAAACCCAGACTTCACTCCATGTCACTCTTCACTCTGGCACCTTCTCCTCTTCCTGTTTATCGTCAGACTTGAGAGTCTGTCCATTTGCACTTCCTGCTTCCTCACTTCTGATTCACACTAGAAACTACACCAGCCTGATCTCTGTCCCCACCACTCAGCAAAACAGCTCTGGTCACCACTGACCTCCACGGTGCCAAGACAATTGACAAGTTCCTGTCTCATATCAGGAAGGCTCGGAGACACGCTCAGCACAGTTGTCCTCTTCCTCCTTTCTGGAAGGTTCTCTCTTGGCTTCATAATACCATATCCTCCTTTTGTTTCCCTTTAATTTTCCTTTGTCTCCGTAGCTGGGTCTTTTCATCTCCCTAAACTCTAAGGGTCCCTCAGACTTGGTTCTGGTTCTCACCTAATCTTTAAGTTTTTTTTTGCTCTCTTTTTTTTCCCTAAACTTATTTAACTGAAGGAAAATTGCTTCACAATACTGTGTTGGCCTCCGCCACACATCAGCATGAGTCAGCCGTAGGCACACATGTGTCCCCTCCCTCTCCAACCTCCCTCCCACCTCCCACCCCTTCCCAGCCCAGGACTCTCACCTTTTAACGCTCTAAATTTTCTCCAAGTGCAGGAAATAGCACCTATACACTGACGGTTCTGAAAATTACACCTCCCCCATTCAGAAACCTGGGTTTCCCTGCTCCGTGCTTGAATATCTGACTGACCTCTAGACACCTCTGCTTGGATGGCCTCCAGAGATCTCACACTCACTGTGGCCCAAAGGAAACTCTCATTTGCCTCCAGAACTTTCCACCTGCAGGCCTCTCCATTTCAGCAGATGACATCACTGTTCCTTCTGTCACTCAGCCCAGAAATTGAGATATATGCTTGATGCTTCCCTTGCCTTTACCCCACACCCAATCCACTAGCAAGTCCTGTGACTCTATTTCCAAATTTCGTCTCTAATCCATCAACCTGCTCTCACGTGCACCTCCAACAAATACCATTTCTCACCTGGGTTCCTGCGGCCACTGTCTGACTGCTCTCCCCATCTTCATGATTTCCCCTTCTGCTTAAGTTGTATATGACTTACCATCTAAACCAAGTCACTTTCCAGAACGAAAAGGGGCATTAGTAATAATTATGCCAGGATGACAGAAATAAACTGGGACTGTCACAGGCAAAAGAGGCCTGTCTCTCTAGCACAGGCTGATCTCTGTAAACCATAATCTGATCATGTGTCCCTTCTACTTAAAACTCTTCAGCAGATCAGGTCCCTGGTCATGTTCTGGCATAATCTCACGCCATATCCTCCCAGCTGTCTGCTCTCCAGCCACATTGGTCTTCCCTCAGTCCCACCAATGAGTCAAACTCTAATTTATAGGTATGTGGTATTGCCTTTGCCCAGAACATGCTTCCCACCCATCCTTCTCAAGGCTGCTTCCGTCTTTCCTGCACCTCTCACTTGAAATTCCTCTTCAGGATGGCCTTCTCCGACTACTCTGGGTGGCCTACCATGGCTATTACTTCTTTCCTAACAATTATCAATATGTGAGATGATTTTATTCATTTCTCTCTTTTTTTTTTAACTTTTTCTGTTATTTTTTTCTGTTTACTTTTTCTGTTATTTGGTTCCTGGTGGGGGGTGGGGCATTGTTTTGCTGGTTTTCTTGGTCTGTCTTCAACCTTAGATTGTAACAATTTCTGTCTCATTTAACTTTAAATATCTAGCACTAAGCAAGGTATCTGGCATGTAATAGTACTTCAATGCTTATTGAACACATAAATGAATGAAAGAATTAATTTTTTTAACTAGTAAAAAGTGAATTTTTTCAGGGTAATACATTACAAAATGTATTTCCATTATACCACATCATCTTTATCCATTCACTCCCTGATGGACTTTAAGTGCTTTAGATGGTTTAAGTCCATCAGTGCTTTATATGGTTTCCATATCTTGGCTGTTGTAAGTATGCTGCAGTTAACACAGGGGTGCATGGATATTTTCTTTTTACATTTTTAAATTGAGGTATAGTTGATGTACAATATTTCATAAGTTTCAGATGGCCAACACAGCGATTCATAATTTTTAAAATTTATACAGCATTCATAGTCATTATAAAATACTGGCTATATT